CCATCCCCCTGATGTCCATCCCCCTGATGGCCATCCCCCTGATGTCCATCCCCCTGATGTCCATCCCCTTTGATGTCCATCCCCCTGATGTCCACCCCCTTGATGGCCATCCCCCTGATGTCCACCCCCTTGTCGCCCTTCCCGCAGGTCGCATCTCCGACGGACACGAGCAACTTCGACAGCTTCCCGGAGGACAGTGACGAGCCACCCCCTGACGACAACTCAGGATGGGACATAGATTTTTAATGTCTTTCTCTTACCTGCTTCTGCCTTGCTGAGGACAGCTCTCCTGGGACGTGGCTGCCAGCGAAACCGAGAGAACGGAACTGGGGAGGATTCGTGCTCGGGGTCACCATGATGCCTTGATTGATGCTGCTACAGGAACTCCAGTGGCATTAGGACTTACTGCTTAGATGACAATAGTGCTCTTCATGTTTTCTGTTCGAACACAACCTGGGGGTTGACATGGTGGTCCTGACACAGAGCCTTTCACCGGTAGAGAAACACGTTTTCTGTCGCCGCCGAGGTCTTGCGACGCTCTTAATTACCAAGGTCAGGAGATACGTTGTGTAAGACACACCCAATTGTAGCTGCGAGGTACTGGCTTTATCAGTAGGATCAGTAGTAATTTATTCAGTGCTGTAGCCAAATACAGTGCAGGATTTGGGCTATTCCCACCCTCCCAGCTCCGCGGGGCTCCCTCCCAGTGTCGGAGCGGAGGAGGCCACGGCGGGCCCGGCCAAAGAGTTCATGTCAAAGCAGTGGTGAAATGTGTCCTTTTCCTTTCTGAGCAGAACCACGACAAGACTGAATGTTACCTTTCCTCTTTGGTTTGGAGAGTTTTTTTTTGTTGAGCCTGGTAGAACAAAAGCACAACTGCTCGAGATCCTGTGAAGGCAGATATGGGTCATTTCTCTCACGCTGCAACACCACCTTTGGGGCTTGTTTTTCCTTTCCCTTGGTACAAATACATCCCTGCATGAAAACAAAAATCAGGAAACTAATCTGTTTGACACATAAAACAGTGCTTGGATCACGGTCCTGTAACAAGGCGACAGCAGCCCACTGGTCTTGTCGATTTAGGCATAAAATTAAGCTCGACTTTGACCTCTTCAGAACCCAAAGGGAAAACATAAGACCTGTGATGTCCTTTTTAGGTGCTATGTCCATCCCTCAGCTGGTCACTCAACCACCTTTTGAGAGATATGTAGCAAGAGGCTTCGTTCTCCGTCGCTCTTGGATGATCCCACGTCTCCATGTCTCCATCTCCTCCGTGTTTAGTGCAGAGCTCATTAAAAGCCAAGTACTGGGCCAGTTTGCTGGCTCTGGTGTAATATTGCCTGTAAAAATGGAGTCCTGATGCCTCTCTGGGCTGAGGAAAGTCCATGGAATTAAATGGCAAAGCGATATTGGATGTATTTGTTGCAAGGTCTCCGTGTCGCCGGCGCGAGTTCCCCGATGATCACGTTCAGGGCACTGTAATGGCCACAGTCATCGTGTGGAAAAACACCCTGGGGAAAACAGGATCAGGATATGCTTTTCCCTGACTTCCACTGCTTTTCCTTTGCTTGAATACAGTCTCCTCTGATTTATAGGCCATAACTCTGTCCTGGATGCCCGTTTGTTGACTTCAAGTATCCCGTTATCCCACAAAACCCATCAGGTTTCGGTCTCTCTAGGACCCAAAAAAATCATAGCATCATAGAATAATGGAATGGTTTGGATTGGAAGGGACCCTAAAGACCCTGTCATTCCAAGCCCTGCCATGGGTGAGCAGGTGCTGCCCCGTTTCATCCCAGCACTGCCCAGAGCTGAGAGTGGGGAGATCAGCTCTTGCTGAGAAGGACTTTTGCCCACATACTCCGTGGAAAATGTCTGTTTTAACAGTAAAATATTATTTCCCTGATGCTAAATCCCAACTCTTTCCCATGTTTCTGATGAAAGCAACTTGACAGAGTGTATTGTTTGACAGCATGGACCGTGTCCTGCTGTTTGCCAGCAGGCATGAGCTGGCTCACCTTTGGAACCAGTCTGTGGCACAGGATTTCTTTCCCTGTTTTCCAGAGGGTGAGGCAGCAGAGCTGGCACAGTCACTTCAGGTTATTTCTGCTGTTCTTTAATCATTGGAACTTTGTCTGCCTTCCAAACTGTCGGGAAAAGGCAGTAGCTCCTGGCTTTTCCACCTTTATCCGAGGGATGGACGACACTGAGAGCCAAGGCTGAGCACTAGGGCTAATATATCCACCAGGCATCTGAGAGAACAGGCCTAGCAGCCAAATTCGTCACTCACACCCCCCTGGAGTTTCACTCAACAAGGAGAACTTTCTGTAGGAATGTAGAGAGGAGTTTGTCCCAGAGCGATGGCACTCGTGCTGTGGCAGGCAAGGGGTTGCTGGGTGGCAAAAGCACCACGAGGATTTGGGGGGCAACCTGAAAACACGACAGGAAGGAGGGTTTGAAATGGGCTCTTTTTCTTTTTCCTGTCCCTTTTTCCCTGTGCCAAGCACAGGAATCAATACCTGTACTGAATATGAGTTTATTTTGATATCAAACCCCTCACTCGACTCCCATCACCTCTCCCAAGCATTAACACCTCACTATGTATATGATAAAAGCCTTCATTTATAATAATATATTTAAGTTGCTTTATATATATATATATATATATATTCACAACAAGGGATTGCCTCTGTGTTTCCACTTTGTGTCCTTATTTCTTTGTCTCCTTCCCTAATCCATGGGAGGAGGGTGTATTTAGGCTCCCATATTCCAGCTGAAATCAGCTCCCACATTTCAGAGCAGGGTGTTGATTGGTGTCATGACCACATGGCTGATCCGTAGCTTCTCCCAGCGCTGCATTTCCCACAGCAAACTCTTCTTTACCAACAGGACCACGAGCGACTATTTCTGTAAATAGGTATTTTCGTGTCGGTATTTTGTGGTACACATTGAACTTTTTGTTCTTTTTCCAGCCCCATGGCATTATTCCTTCGTTTCCTTATTTGTAATGTAATGTTTTTAGCTCAAGGTAGACTTGAATTAATGTCATATTTGTCAGTATTATTAAACTTTATGTCAACTGTCCTGTTAACTCATCCGTCCCATAGTTTGAGAACATGACTAGCTATCTGGCATTGTTGCAAGTGCCTTAAATCCATGGCATCTTATAAAAAAAAAAAAAATGACAAATTTGGTGTTATGCTGCATGACAAAGACAAACACACCTCAAACTGTCGTCCTTTCTTAGCTTGCTGCGTTTTACAGTTCTTTCTGCGACCAGTTTCTAAGCCTTTATTATCTAAAACTGACGAATTACAGAAATGATGAAGTCGTTCTCTTATTTCTGTTCAATGTACCAGAGCTGTGTATCTGTTAATGAGATACAGAGTCATTTCTGTGAAATGTATAAATGTTTATGTGCGGGTCAAATTCCTCTCTGACATCCCAGCAGTCCGTACACAGGTATTCCTGTTCCGCCGAGCCCTGCAGATCCCACCCATCGTGCCGTCCCGTCTTACACGCCCCCCCCTCGAGGAATCTCCCACCTGGAAAAAAATCCACTCGCTGTGAACCCAGCCTGCCTTTTTTTTTTTTTTTTTATATTTTTTTGGCCCTAAAACCCCGAGGCAAAGGCGCAGCTCGTTTGCACCACTCAACAAAACAGTGCTTTCCCCTCCCCGACCCCCTCCGTCCGCAGCCACCGCCGGGACGAGCCCTCGGTGCTCCCGCGGAGCTGCCAAGCTGGAGGCTCCTCAATCCGCAGCTCCCCAGCCCTGACACCGAGACTTGGGCGCCTTGAGGGCTTTCTCAGCAGAAGGGGGAATTCCCTCTCACCCCGACCCCGGCTTATGCTGGTTTTTACACCATCCCTTTGGTTTGTATCCTTATTTCCCCCAGCTTTCTTCTTCCACGGGAGAGGTTTTGTTTGTCGGACAGATGTCGGTCACCCCCCGCTCGGTGGCCGCTTGCACTCTTTTGATGTTGACTGAAGAACTTTGGGGTTTTTTTTCATAAACTTTAACTGCTTTTGTTTGGCTCTGTACTTTCCCTGCAGCTGTAATTGCCGAGTGCCTGTTGTATACTTTATAGAGTTGAAATAAAAATAATTACTTTTGAACAACGTGTCGAGGGTTTCCTTCCGCAGCCCAGGCTGAGTCTGGGGGAGCTCTGCTGCTCAGGGATTAAACTGGGGTGGTGGGGGTCCTGCTCTGGCCAGGTGACCCCCACAGCTCACTTCCTACCCAAACTATCCTCTGAACGTGGCTCATCCTCGGGGATGAAGAATTCCCTTTGTGTTTTGAGTCCAGGGAAGGCACCGTGTTCCCAACACGAGTTGTGTCATCCCTGGAGAGGATGTGACTCAAAACAGCACTGCTGTCAAAAAAACTGGTTGCCCAGAGAAGTGTCCAAGGCCAGGTTGGAGCAACCTGAGGGAGTGGAAGGTCATGTCGAGTCCATGACACACAGGTGAGCAAAACCTGGGCAAAGGAGCAAGAAAACATCCTCCCAGGAGGGAAATAAATGTGGTAACTGCCTAAGGAGGAGCTGGGAAACATCCCAAACCGTTCTGCGGGATGCAGCAATCGCAGGTCCAAGTTAATCAGGCAATAAAAAGCGCGGGGTGACGTGGCCCTCACCTGAAACTGCCGGGGGAACACCG